GCAACAGCCAGGACCAGAAGACTGAGATGGAAAGAGTTTGTTAACTTCTGCAAAATATTCTGAAATGTCCAGTTCAAGATGCATTGCCTGCTTGTAGAGATAATTAACACAGATCACAGTAAATGCGCATTCAGAATGAGGGACAGAGGACTGACAGACACTGTGAAAGGAAATACTGACATGTCAGAAAGTTACGTCAAAAATGAGAAGAACCATTTTCTCAAATACCTTGTTTGCCTTGTGGTACAAATAGTTCCAGGATTCACACTGTCAGGGCTTTGTCCCAGCCATGAGAGCACAAGGCTTGCTTTTGAAAAAAGAGGAAAGGTGGAGACTAAATGGATGAGAGTTGATTTTGGCAAGCTGGGCCTTGAGAAGTGGTTTTAACTGTTAGAGGGGCTGTGACTCTGAAGTGATGAGCAAAGAGATGCTGTGCTAGGCAAACAGGGTGTAATTGACCCACAGTGATGACAGGCTGCAGTGTTTTCAGTATTTTCTCACAGATAATAACTAGCTGAAGAAAAGAAGATGCCTTAGGCCTCTAACCAAATTGGTCACCTTACAGCTATGAAATGCCCCACCCAGCACTAATTATGACTGTTATAACAGTAACAATTAAATCGAAGTAACTGCTGCTATTCTTTGACAGGAGCCTTGCCAAGACGAGTATTTTGTTTGATTATGAAGCAAAGAAAGTGACTTAACTTAAAATTGCCCTTTGTTTCGGAAAGCTTTTGCTGTTATGTGAGTAAAACTCAAGTTTTGGCAAGTTGTGAACACAACCCTGTGTTCCCAGTTTCCCAATTTCCAGTGTTTACACTTCACACAGTGTTTGTGCCTCTGTGATGAAGGTTGAAAGAGAGTTTGGTTTTTCTGTTTTCTGTGATGCCCCTCAGCTGGACTGTGGCTGCCCCATAGTTGTCTTTTCTGCCTTCTACCATCCTCACCTGCTGTTTACACAGGTTTGGATACAGCCAAAAAATCAGACATCAGTGCCTTTAAACACACTGACCAGGAACATCAGCAGGTGGGCCCAAAATCAGGTGAGTCTCCTCTAAACAGTTCTATTTTTGAAACAAGCCCCAGGCTGGATGCTGTGCCACAATGCTGGGTGAGATAAGGAGGCATCACCACGGGCCATCTGTTCCAAGCACAGCCGGAGAGCGCTCAGCTTCCCCCAGCCCTGGGCGCTGCAGATGCCTGCCAGCAGCCAGGGAAGCCCTGAATCTGGGCTAATTGAGGGCATCTGCAGCCAGCCAGCTTCACATTTAATGGGGATTTACTGCTGATGGAAGTTACAAGCGAATTACAGATTCCAGCACGTCATGGTCTCGCCAGAGTCAAACAAAAGCACGTGGTGATAAGAACAGAGTGCTGCACACTGGGACCTGAGGTCTCCATGGACCTCACTGCTTTGTTAAAGCATTGCTGATAAGTTATGAGGCACTACAGAGCTCTACATCTTTCCTAGGGACTGTGTTTATAATGCCATTTATAATTTCCAGCTCTCCTGTTTGTTTTTATAGCAGTGTAGGAGGGTTTCTTTCTCTTCAAATCAAATCATAGGGCCTCACCATTTCTAGCTCAAAGTCTCCCTAATGCTGCTAATCTCCTATTAACAGCCTACTGACACAGAAGAGACAACAGAAAAAGACTGATTGCCAGCCCCCTGGCCCTGTGACCGTGTGCTGGTCAGATCTGGATTAATAGCTGAGGCGATTTACCTCAGGAGGCCTTGCCACAGGTGCCTGGAACTCTAAACTCTCCTCCAGCTGCCGGGCAGGAGAGGGAGGAGGGGAACCACTAAATCCATAGATGATGCACGCACAAAAAAGGCCCTGCTGAAAATCGTTTTTCTTCTCCTATACAAAATCAGGACGACTGCAGGGAAAAAAACCTCCTTGACTTTATATAAAAGGCAACAAGGTGGGCATGGGCATTCCACCCAGGACACAAAACCCACTGTGGTACTCCTTCATACTATCTGTCACTGACAGCAAGTTCATTTAGCTTTTCTGGTCACTAGAAATTGTTATCCAGGAGCACAGGCAAACACCCTGCTTCCCTCCTGTGCCGGTGTAGTAGGATAGATTGCCCTGCTCTGTAGCTGGGACCCTTTCAGCTTTAAGACAATTTAAGCTGCTCCCATTCAAGGAAAGATGGAAAAACAGCATCATTCCTATTTGGCAACAAGCGTCCATGTGACAGTCGGGTTCAGCAGCCCGAGCAGCCTCAGGCTCCCCTCCCGGGCTGGGCTGCACTCCTGCATTGGCTGTGCTGCTCCATGACCCTACATAGCAGGAGGAGGGTGCTGGCAGGGTGGGTGCAGCTGACCAGCTGCACTTGACGTCAGCCAGCAGCACAGTGTCCGCACACACACAGAGCATCATCTGAGCTGCACCAGGACTCTGCCTGACCGCCAGCCAGGCACACACAGGCAGGAGCTGCTGCTGCCCAGGCCCAGGTCAGCTGCCGAGGATGCACACGTGCCCGACTATGATGAGCATCCCTCATCTCCACAGAGATGATTGTGTTTCAGAATGATTTCATTTCGCTCGTTAACAAATTGCCGGTGAAATAGGTAATTGTTGCTGGCCTGAAGTTAAACAATCCTGTTACTGAGTGTTATTTGCAGGTCAGAGAGCTTCAAGAGGTTCGGCCTTCGAGGCGCCACACTGTCCCCTCTAGGAAGAGGGGTGAAGTACAAAAACATCCCACCATGCCTTACAGAGAAATTAATTTAACCTATAAGCACTGGTATTACAAGGTTGCTTGTCCACTTTGGCTTCTCACACAACCACACACTGCAGCTCATACGGAGCTGCCATTCAGAGCAACTCCAACCTCCCCCTGACCTTCCCAGACTCTAAAATAACTGCATCAGTGTTGCAGCTCTGTCTTTCCATAGGTCTCCATTCCTCAGGTGCATCTGCAGGGAAACAGGATCTGACTGTTCGCTGTTCACTCCCCCACCTGAAACAACAGCCGTGTTCCAAAAGCTGCCTATGTGACCCCGACACCTACTGCAAACACCACCAGAGCAATGCTGGGCTGCCCCTCTAAGGCATACAACACTGGCTGGTTGCCCGTGAAAGAAATCCTTCAACAGCATCTTTGTGTGACACAAACTTACCTTGTTTTTGTGCCGTCTCACTCCTTTTCTGAGTCTCAGTGAGGAGCATCCAGCCAGTGAGAGGCTTTTTCAAACTTGATTCCTTATCCATATTTGGGAATTTGTGCTGGGCACTAGCTGGTACGAGGCACGTTCTTCCCACAGTGCACTTTGGGACTTGTAGTTCCCAAAAAGGAATGTTGTTTTCCAAATTGCAAGCGCCGAGCAACAGGAGCAGCAGTCTGAAACGCCTTTACCTCTGCCTTTGCTTGCTGCTGGGCCCTTTCACATGTTTTCTGTGCATCTTAATCCTCCAGGAACCTCTTCCACAGTTAAGGGCAGTGTGCCAGCCCCTTGGATGCACCACTGTGTAAAAGCTGCTGCTGCAGAGTGCTCCTGCTGCAGCCCAGAGGGGCAGGTACATGGTCCTGCCTCCTGGAAACAGCTACCTAGAAAAAGAGAGCTTTTAATCGTATTCGCCACACTGAGACGGCATAGAAAATCCCCTTTGTAAGATATGTTTCCCCGTTCAGCATGTTTTGTATTTGCCCATTTGATTTTTTAATTACATAATCAGAGTAGGGGGACAGATAAATGTGTCAGTTGTTCAAAAAGGTTACAGGATAAATCAATCCTGTCTCTCTTGTAGAGATCCATTTTCGAAGAGCGTTTGCGCTGACTGCCGTAATTACCTAGTAACCAAGACACCCTGTTGTTTTTAAATAACAACCCAAGGAGAATGCGAACCGCTGCCTGCCGAGTGCTGCTGGGGACGCTGTCATTACACCCGAGCTGCATTAACAGCGTGATGTGCTCAGAACTACGGGCACGGGGAGCCGGGGAAGACGTGCCAGGAGGAAGAAGCGGCCGGGAGCGCAGAGCATCCATCACCGGCCCGCTCTCCCGTTAGCATCGCCTCTGGCCGGGGCGAGGGGAGCTGGGACCCTCTGGGGGCTGGGACACCCTCGGGGCTGGGACACTCTCGAGGGGCTGGGACACTCCTGGAGCCGGGACACTCCCGGAGCTGGGACACTCTCGGTGCTGGGACACTCTCGGGGCTCGGACAGTCCCGGGGCTGGGCTGACGCCCGGCGGCTGCGGGCAGAACAGCCGAGGCAGGCTGTTCCTTCCTCCCTTTCCCTGGGCAGCCACACGAGGGAGGAGATGAAGGGAGCGCGTTGTGGCAGGGATGGGCACCGATCCCGGTCCCGGAGCTGCGGCCGCAGCCGCTCGGAGCGGCCCCGGAGTGCCCCCTTAGCCACCGCTGATCCCCGCAGGGGAAGGGACCACAGTGGGTCACCCTGTCCCACCTCCCTGCTCAGTCAGGGCATTGCAGAGCACACGGCACGGGAATACATCCAGGCGATTCTGAAATATCTCCACAGAGATGCACACCTTCCCTGGGCAATCTGTTCCAGTGCACGGTCACCGCACAGTAAAGAAGCTCTTCCCCCCGTCCAGGTGGAACTTGTTGTGGATCAGTTTCTGCCCGTTGCCTCTTGTCCTATGGCTCGGTACCACAGAGCAGAGCCTGCCTTTATTTTCTTAGCACCTCCCTTGTGTATTTATACACATTAAAGAGGTCCCATCTCAGTCCTCTCTTCCCACGGCTGAAGAGACCCACTTCCCTCAGCCTTTCCTGGTAAGGGATGCTCCAGCCCCGCAGCCATCCCCGTTGCCCTCCTGCAGCCGTGACTACACGTCCCGGCGGCCCGCGGGGCCGGGATGCTCTCCGAGACGGCCCTTCCGCTGCCGGCCGCCTCCATCGCGGCTTTCCGGTGCCTGCCCGAGCCGAGCGGAGCCGGGCCCCGGCAGGGGCGGTGGCGGCGCTGGAGCCGGAGCCGGAGCCGGAGGCTGAGCCGGGCCCGTGCGGGGCCGGGGAGAGCCCTCCCGCCGGGGCCATGAGGGCCGAGCCGCCCGCCTGGGCCCCGGGGCCGGCGCAGGCGGCCGCGCTGCTGGAGGAGGCGGCGGATCTGCTGGTGCTGCACCGCGACTTCGCCGCCGCCGTGGAGCGCTGCGAGGCGGGCTGCGACAGCCTGGGCCCCGGCCCCGGCCCCGGCCACGAGAGGTGCGGGCAGTGCGGGCGTGTGGAGGGGACGGGGTGACGCTGGGACGCTGCTCGGTGCCGCATCAGCGCCGGGCTGGCTCCCAACTTCAGGCCATGCCTGCACTGCTTCGGGGTTTCTTTTAGCCCTGTCGACATTAAAATGTTTCATCTGTGCGTTTTTGAGGGAAATGCGGTGTGCCCAGGAGCCTTCCCTTCGTTCTCTCAGAGATGCAGTCACAGTCCATATCCTCGGAGGTCAAATTGGCCTTTTTGAAGGGGACAAATAGAGGGGAAGCAGAGAACTGTGTTCACTGAAGGTCATTGGAGAGGATGCAAGGGGAAATGTGGCTGTAAGAAGCACTTATTTGGGTGTCTGTTCCTCACCAGTTTTGCAGAAGTGAAATGCTCCCTTTGTGTTGTGGGGATCCAGGCGCTGGCCGAGATGAACCGGTGGAGAGAAGTTCTGTCTTGGGTCCTACAGTACTACCATGTCCCTGAGCATCTGCCTCCAAAAGTTCTGGAGCTCTGGTGAGTTTCTGTGTGTTGCTGTCAGATATACAGCATATATCTTGTGGGGTCTTGTGTTAGGTTTAACTGCAGGCCAGGCTTGGGTATTGCGTGATATTTTCACTTTGTGTGGTGTGAGTGAGGTCTGGCACAGGCCTGTTGTGTGTGTGCTGGAGCATGCCTGCAAGATTGCTTCATGGTGATCAAGGTTAAAATGGGTGATCTCGAGAGAGTAACATCAATAGCTGCACCTGTTGCCTGCCTCAGAATTCTCTCTGTGCTTTGATGTAGACCCTGATTGATACCTCATGGGTAATATCTGTCAGTGATGTCAGCTTCCACAGAGGCTCGGGGTTTTCTCATACTTCTCCCTTGCATCCCAGCATCCTGCTGTACAGCAAGGTGAGGGAGCCGCAGGTGATGCTGGAGGTCGGCGGCAGCTGGCTGGGGTCCCAGGCCAACCGGAGTCTGCCCGAGTTCGGCTCGCTGCTGGAGCTGTACCTGGCGCGGGTGCTGCTGCCGCTGGGGCGCTTCGGGGCCGCGGAGGAGCTGGTGCGGGGCTGCCCCGCCTTGGACAGCGAGCGGCGCCTGCAGCTCCTCGGCACCATCGGCGACAGCCGCGGCCGCTGGAGGCAGGAGGAGGAGACACGCCCGGAGGCTGAGGAGCGGCAGGACCCAGCCGCAGAAACGCTTCTGGGTGGGCTTTCCCTCTGTTGTTCGCGCCCCTTTGTTACAGTTTCAGTTTCACTTCAGTTTCATTTCAGTTTCATTTCCTTTCAGTTTCATTTCAAACTGGTGAAGTATTGACTGTGCATTAAGAACATTGCCATGATAAAAAGGCCATGAGTAATTCCCGTTTTGTATCACAGCAGGAAATAAAAGATTTAGTGATGCCTTTACAGAGAATTGCAAAACGTATTTAGTCTCTGCCAGCATCTGGAAATGACAGTTAATGCCCAGGATCAAAAGTTTTGGGTTTGGGTTGTTTTTTTTTAAAGTAAAAAGAGGAAAACTAAGACTACCTGGCAATCCTTTAAGGGTATGTTTTGTTGGCTCTGTGTACAGTTTGCTTCATTTCCATTTACAGTTGAGTCCAAGTAGAACAATGCCTGTCTAGCATTTAAAGTACTGCTTCTTCTCCAGAGCTGTAAGTCATTGGATGTTTTCTCCCTGGCACTACTGTGGGATTAGATCATATTGTAGTAAAGTAGGTGCCTAAAAAACAAGTATAATGAAGTGTATTACAAAATTATACTGTTTCTCTGTTGTATAAAAAACCAAGCCCAATCCAACTCTCAAGCAATCAGACTGCCAGTACCTTAGTTTCTTATTGGCTATATCTGTGTGATTACTTTTTAAACTTTACTTTGCCCTGACAGCCTTTCTGTTCCTGTTTTCCAGGAGTGCTGTCCCAAAAGCTCCTGACCATGCTGACGTTGCTACGTAGAACACTGAGGTCCATGTCAAATCACTTCTGTTTACTTCCTTACAAGAAGATGCTCTTGGCCACTTTTTTGCTGTACCTGGTGGTGGTGAGATTAGACCCAGGTATGGGATTAAGATCTCCAAATTTTAAAATTCCATTGTGGTTATGGAGAAGAAATGAGTTGTTTTTAATAAATCTGGTGTAAATATCTCAGGGAGACAAAAAATCTGGGTGACTAGGAACTTAATGTGCTGAAGCTGAAGTGCATGTAGAAAGATGAAGCTCCACAAATGCCAGTTTTCTGCAAACTCTTTCCAGCAGCCAAGGTACAGCCTGTGAGAGGCAGGCAGAGCTGTCCTAGACTCAGCCTTTTCCTCATCAAAGGAAGGATGAGAAATTGGTTTTTATTAATTCTAGCTGGGGGTAGTTCTTTCTTAATATGTTTAGTGTATGTTAGTTTTACCTAGCTAGTTTTACCAATTAGTTTTACATTTTTGTTCTGTTTTGCAGCTTCTCCCACATCCCTGCCATTCATCTACAAACTGGTCCAGCTCTTCCGACAGGCTTGGGCAGCTGTGCTTTCTCCAGTCCACAGGCCTCCAATTGGAGACTGAGTGTCTGCCTCCACTCAGAGTGTCACCTTGTCTTGGCCATGTTCAGATCTGAGATGTGGACTCCTGGAGTTTCTTCAGACAGGGAATGGTGGTGGATGAATTTCGAAGCCACAGCAAATATTCCTGACGTTTTGCTTGGTCCTGTCCAGCACTAGGGTACAGCCACTCCTATATCTACAACTGAATAAGAATTTAAGAATCCTCCTTTCCAACACTTTGCTTTGGATGTGTCTCTTGAGTGAGGGTTGTGTAGCCAGTTATGAGCTGTGGAAGAAGTTCTCATCCTTGCAAATGCTGAGCAGTTCTCTGAACAAGTGCAATTCCTGGAGGACCAGTGATTAGGGGAATATTCTGTTTTCCCTGAAGACAGCTGAAAAGCCCAGTTCCTGCAGCATGGGATTGAGGACAAGCACATGGAAGAAAAATACAGGAGAAATTCAAGCCTATTGCATTTTGAAAGCCATGGTTTCTCTTGTGACTGATGCCTCTTTGGACAGGCACACTGGATTTTAATCATATTTAAGCCAGAAAGATGAGGGGGTGGGCCACAGAGACTGTTGTGTTGTATCTACTCTTCTTAAATTACTCTTCTTGCAAATTACAGCACTCAGTGCTTGCCTGATGCATAGTCATTCCTAGAAGCGCTTGGTGGGCTGGTAAGGAAATAGACTTTATTTTTTTAAATTATATTCTATGTTATTGTCTAGTTGAACAACTGAAGTTGTTGCTTTGTTCATGTAGATGTCAAAAAGTCTCTCTGACTATCTGGAATTGCTCCCCAGGGCCCCAGTACCCAAAGCCCTGGGTTAGATGGGAGTCATGTAGCAATGCTCTGTCATTCAGAACAAAGGGGGATTTTTTAATAGAAAGAGATACTTCTCTGACATCACAAAACTTTCCCCAGATCAGTGGCAAGAAAATTGTACACCTGCAGGTCTGTCACCAGACCAGCTCCATTTCTGACTACTTGGAGCAGAAATTGGAGGCTTGGGGTGATAAATTAATTTCTCCTCCATCCATTCATCCATCATCAATTGACGAAGGTAAATTCCAAGGAGGGAGCACTGATCTAACAAAATAATGCTTTTAAACTGTTTTGTGCTGGAGGGGACAAGTTAGAGGTGAGAAGCCAGGGACAAATTTGCCTCTGTCATGCCAGCACCTGTGCCAAAAGGGTGTAAACTCACTGATGCCAGCCCAAACTACAAAATGTTGTCAGAGCAACCTTTTTGGTGGGAGCACCCCAAAGCCATGAGAAGCAGCCCGTGTAGATCCCAGTGTGGTGTCTTGCAGCAGTAGTGCCCTTTGTCTCTAGCAATAACCATTCCCCAAGGTGGTGGCTGTTGCTGTTTTCTTCACACAGGGGGTGTTGGCACCCTCACACTGTTGCTTTGCTCCCTGCTGGGGCACTTTGCAAACAGTCTCATCTTCACTACTAAAAACAGTTGTCTGTTTCATCTTAAATTATCCCAAAAAGAGCTGCACCCCAGCATTATTGTCAGACAAACTCAGGTTATTTGTGGGTGTAATAATGACCTTGCCCAGTTGTCTCAAGAGATTTTAAAACCCAAACCAATCCCATATGCCTCCCCAAAGTTTTTGTCTCTGCCAGGACTCTACACCAGGTTAAGCAAACTTCACTCTGAAGTCAGGCCAAATTCTGATCAAAGTGACTGTTAGGTAATTCACATTTTTTGCTGTAGTCTCCTGGCATCATTTTTAGGTGGATGGCAGAGATGCTGTTCTGGAGGTTGTTTTGGACCAGTGGTTTCAGCAGACCATACATAGCTTTTAGAATGCTGTTCAGTGTAATTTACCAGGACTTTCAACATTCAACTTTATTTTAAGTGTAGGTTGGTAACCTTTACTCTATTGGAGTACTACTGATTTAGAATGTATATTGTTTTAAATTCATCATGAGAGAGCAAGAAGGAAGAAATAAGCTATCAGGGGTTTTTTGCAATTAATACTAAAACTGAAGTATGTAATTTTTATAATAAAGTGACTACTGATTTACCTCTGTAGAGTTGCTTTTTTGTGCTGTGATTTGAGCATATAAAAAAAAGTTTATTGTATTGATACACTACAAAGTATATCAAAGTTTTCAATAATTGTTTCGCATTGTTTCATAGTTTCATCATGTTTGAATTGAGTAGAAAATGTCTTCAGTGTGAATCTGATGAGATCTAAGCCACTGATGATGTTGGTAGAGTTTAAGTCTGCATTTTGGCATGGCCAAGAGCAATACTACAAGAATAAAGTACCTGGTATTCATCATTATTAGATGAATGTATCTTTATATTAGAACTAACTACAGTTCTGACCTTACTGTATTAGGAGAGAAAACTCTACAAATAAAAAGAAAAAATACATAGCACAGTTCTCTTCAGGGATAATGCCTGAAAACCAGTATTTTATCAATGTAGCAGTGTTATACAGGTGCTTAATTACTAGACTTGGGAAGTTCAGAAATCCTGAAATGAAATGCTGCTGGTTCTTCCAGCAGGTGGCAACAAACTAACAGAAAACAATTACACAGAAACACCAGGAAACTGTTTAAATCTTCATTCACTTACTGTGGAAGGTATTAAAATGAATGGGAAATGGCAAAGACTTACACATCCCAAATTAAAAGGAAAAGAGGATTTTGTGTGATCACCTAAGAACTAAGAGTGCACTGTTTTGTAAAGTGGCATAATGTTCTAAAATAATCCATGATTCTGACACTGCTGATGAGTCATTCAAGTAATGAGCCTGTAGGGAGGGAGTGATGTACATCCAGTAAAGGAGGAAAAGCATTTGACTGTCCTTCATTGGCCTCTTGATGTATTTCAGTCTCCAGCATATTGAGTTGTGGGAAGAAGGAGAAATCACATCACATTCAGGATGATGGTGTTTTTCTTCCCAAGCCAGTGATGAAGCCCTGCAGTCCTGATTGTATCTGAACACCTGCCTGCCCATGGGAAGTGTGAATCCACTCCTTGGTTTGCTTTGTTTGTGTGCACAACTTTTGCTTTGTGTGTTAAACTGTATCTCAACCCACAGGTTCCCCCTGACTCTTCTGATTCAGTGCTCAGTTGCCAGCTGGGGTTAAACCAGTGCAGCAGTACTTCTGAGTTCTAGATTATTCAAAAATGCCATTTTCAGAAATGTGTCTGTCTTTAATTAGAGAAAAAGGCTTTAGGTTTCATATGGCAGAGGTTTCTGCCCACAGAGGTTGAATGCCAGCATCCATCATGACTTTTCAAGAATCCAGCAAAGAGTAATGATTTGCAGGTTTATGTAAAGAGCAGCAAAATGAAGACTATACCAAAGTGACTTTATAAGAACCAGTATGAATTAGTTCTCACTGTTAAAATGTAGGTGTTAAAGAAGATACTTCTATGCTGGTTGCCAACAGTGGCAGAATAATCTATTGATATCATCATGTCAGAGCAGACTAACCTACATTTTAGAAATTAAACATCATCATAAACAGTTCATTTATAAAGTGAGGGGATACATGATGCAGATTCAAGCAATTAAGTGTGCCTTCCTTTTGTTGCTTAAGGGTTGCAACCACAAGGATTTCTCTACTGAGAGAAGCTGCTGCTTTCTAATGGTGAACTAGTGCAGAAGGAGCAAAGTGGAGGAGGTGACTGCACTAATTTGGTGTCAGAATGTTGGGGTGATGCCTCCAGATCTGTCCTGCAATAAACACTGCAGTAAGAATCAAATTTCTTTCTGAGCTTGGGCAGAGAAGCGAGAGTCTGTACTGAAAGCTGTTCCATACTGCTGACAGCACATGGAAAGAGAAGTAATAGAAGTAAACTGAGATGTTAATAAAGAAGGCAGGAGATAATTTAAAAGTGCTAGTAGAGCACAATTAAGAGTGGTAGTTATGTTTACTAAAATGGTACTATGTTTACACATTAAAAGCACACTTAAGAATGGTAGTTATGTTTACTTTCCAGATCTCTATTTTTGTTTTTCTTCTATCCTCCTCTTTCCCATTCATTTGCTCTCTTCTGCCTTCTGCACTGGAATTCAGGTGTGATTTTCACCTGCAGAAGTTAGTGCTGGCAGAACGGAGCTGGGATGCTGTGTGTGTCGCAGGTGATGTACACCCCTGAGGTGAGAGAAAGCACAGTGTACAACGTGTTCCATGGCCAGGCTCCAGATCAGCGAGCATGCCAGCCCTGGGTTTGCAGCCTGGGGTGCCTGTGGGGCCGGGCTGTGTGCAGGATTTGCCCAGGAGGGTGCTGGGGCAGCAGGGTGACCTCGTCCCCGGCGCGGTGACGCTGAAGCGCAGCAGCAGGTGCTGGGGCTGGGCCCTGGAGCTCCTGCCCTGCAGAGCCAGGCTCCTGCACAGACCTGCCAGCAGGGACCCCAAAGGGAGGGAAACACCCCTGGACACACCATGGTAAGGGAATGGGGGAGCCCCGGGCACACGGGGACGGGGAGGGCTGTGGGGTCTGCTGTCGTTATCAATAGGTTTTGCCACTGAACCCTGATCTCACACACCACTCACCACGTATGGGAAATGAGTGCAGAAAATCTCACTGAAGCATTACTGCATTAAGTTTCTTCAGAGAGTCCTTAAATAGTGAGATAATATAAGTGAGATTTAAAAGTTAAATTACATCTGGAGTCTTAGCTGCTTGGTTCTTTCTGTTGTGACCACATTTCCTCAACACCGGTTCATTTTCATACAAGACAATTCTTTTTTAGAAATAAACCAAAAAAGTTATTTGCCTTTGTGTTTGTTTTAAATTAATTTAGCCCCAATGGCTATACTGTCCACAGCTATGCAGGGTATGCATGTGTGTTTCTGGAGTCTATTAATTCTTTTATATACGTATGCATTTAAGTGAAAAAATGCCCTTTGTTTTTAAGTTTTGGTGGTTTGCTATAAATTCGTAGAAATCTCTCAAAACCTCTTAGAATGTGAAAAAATCCATTTCACCTTGTACCCCAGTATGTCTCCAGCACTGAGTCTAATTTTGGTGCAGAGGAAGAGCTGTGTTACTTTCTGCCAGCTCATCTCACAGGCAAAATACTTCCAGGGGCTTCCCAGACCTGGGGAAGTGAGCGAGTTTGTGGAACAGCTGGAACACTAAACTCTCCCTTTTGCAGTAAATCCTGGAGAGAGATTGTCTTTTTAAGAGTCAAAGCTGTCCCAGGAGTAGTTTCACAAAGGGTCTGGTCCTTTCTGCTGTTTCTTTGTTAAACCTGTCCTGGGTCTACAGACATTTAAGTGGTGGGATGTGAAACACGAGTTTGGAAATGGCTCCAAATTAAAATATCACATAAAGATCAGTTTACTCTGGCTGTGAGGCTGAAGAAGGCCCACCCTCTTCCCTGCTAAAAGTCTGGCATCTATTTTAATGCTCTTCACTATGCAGAGTCAGAATTGTCTTTCTCACTGTCCTCTCTCTTTGGCAGAATATTTCCAAATTATTGCTGGGGAAGGAGAAGATGAAATAGCTCAAAAAGCAGGGTTGAGATGTGGTTTCAAACTAGTGCAGCTGAAAACAGTCTGAAAAGTCTTCAACTGCAGTCCTGTATGAAGTTTTTTATAATAACTTCCTCAGGCAGCACTTACTTGTTCTATCTGTGAAAAACAGACCAATTCCTCTACCTGAAGAAATGAGCAGAGCAGTTCTTATTTTAAAATACTGCTTGGCTTGTAATTGTAATTTTGCTTTAAAAGATATTATTTTTAAAAGCCAGCTGGCCTCATTGCTGTGTGTGAAAAGAAAAGAAACCCTTATTTTTCTTGCTGCCTGCCAGCCTCACAGATTCTCACTGGGATTTGAAACAAAAGGCAGAAACCCGCCCTGTGGAAAGCCAGCATTAGTTGAATTCTCTAAGCCCAAATATGCCTTCGGTGTCTCCTGAGTAATCCTCCAGATTGCAACACACTGACTCATGAAGCCCCACTGTCACTCAGATCACTCAGAGACTTTTGCACAACTCAGTTGACAAAAACCAGGGTTGTGCAAGGACACTTGAGAGCACATGCATTTGCAGAGTCAGCAAAAAATTTCAGCTTGGAAATTAGTACTGAATAGAAATAATTTATTTCATTGAATAAAAGCTTTAAATAGATTTTAAAAGATTTAAAAGATTTAAATGTTCATGTTCATTTGAACTTCTGGGGATGACTAGCTGGGGCAGTGCTGACTTTTGAAATTCTAGTTGCTTCTGAAAAAATGTCTTCAGTTATGTTTCTTAAACACAAATTTATGCCAATTTGTGAAGAAAACGCTGCTCCAGAGATGTTGCTGGTCACACATTGTGACTGAAAATTTTGGTTTTGGGGAGGATACATTTAATTCTCAGGTCACAGAATGATTTTGCTGGGCAAGCAGTTACAGAATTTAATTAAAAAAAAAATTAACTGGTCAAATCTGATAGTGCCATTGGTTATCTCTAAATGCAGTATTACAAAACAAGGATGAGTGGGGACCATCCTCTGCCCTTAAAGCCAGACCTGCTTCACAGCTGGGCATCTCAGTTCTCCTTCCCTCTCCAAAGCCTGGCAGTGCTCAGTGAGCTGCTCACTGGAAACCATTCTGGACAATGAGTTGTTTTCTGCATTGTCTGGATAAATATTATCTGGCCTAAGCCAAAACTCTGACATTTTTTTCAATTATCAATCAGCAGGAGATCACAGGCCAGTTTTCAGTACTATGACATTTTTTTTACTCCCTAGTACAGACAGGGCCCTGGGGATCACAAAACCAGAGCTCAGGCAGCTTTAATTGCTCCAAAACAGAAAACAAATCTGAAAAAATCCACATGCCTGAAACCACTCTCTCCTCAAAAAAATGCCTTTCACTACACCCAGTGTTGCAACTGCTGGGACTGACCCAGAAGCATTTGCTTTATAATTCTGCTTGTGAACCTATGAAATCCAGCAGCAGGGCCCTCATGCTCCTGTGCTTTTAAGTGTACAGGATTTTGGAGAAATTGACACCTGCCTGCTTTAGGCTGCTGTTACACAGTTTTCTCTTCCTGGCTGCCACAGAAAAAATGCTGGAAATAATGAAAATACACTTCACTGCACTGGCACTGACAAGCAATGGAGTAAAATTGTGTTGTAAAATTAATGGCTGCTCAGGAGCTGGAAGGAACATTTATTTTGACCAAGAAAATCTGGAATAATTTCCTTGGGTGAAAGCAGCTCTTCCAAGGTTCTGCACTAGCCTGGTGTCAGAGGGTAGAAGGATCAAAAGACATGATCTGCCTTGGGTTACATAAGGGTGAGGGATGCCACGTGGCTGTGTCAGGTTCCAGCCAGGAGTAAAAATAAACTAAGCTGGGATGTGCTCCTCAGCAGGGCCAGTCCAGGAAGAAAGGTGGGGTTTGAGTAATTGAAATTTATTTTTCCTGACTGTTTTAATGTACTTCTGTAGTACAGCACACAGATCTCAATTTTTTAAAGAACTGTCCTGTCACTGTCATATTTTCTGAAAAATCCCCTTTGCCCAGGATTTTCTCCTGGGAAGCTGAGAAACCTCAGGGAAAAATGAAAACAATATTATCTCATTTGCTTCTCCTGTGATTTGCTCCTTTTGAATGTGGTTGGAGATTGTTTATCCAACATGTGAATTGTTTTGATTTAATGACCAATCACAGTCAGGCTGTGTCAGACTCTGAGGAGAGAGTCATGAGTTTTTAATTAGTATCTTGTTTAGCCTTCTGTAAGTATCCTTACTCTATTCTTTAGTATAGTTTTGGTATAGCATAATATAATACAATATAATATAATATAATATAATATAATATAACATAACATAACATAACATAACATAACATAACATAACATAACGTAATATAACGTAATATAATGTAATATAACGTAATATGATATAATGTAATATAATATAATATAATACAATATAATATAATATAATAATAAATTATTCTTTTAAGAACATAGAGTCAGATTCATAATTTCCTCCCTTCATTGGGAGACCCCAAAAATATTACACTGTCCCAGTGTCTGGCATGTGCAGTCCCATTGTGGTCACGGGGCTGAACAACCAAACAAACAGCTGACAGTGACAATTCACTGATTGTTTGGAAAAGCAATACACTGGGAAAAGGTGACCACCAGGAATAGGGGGGGCTAAGGCACACGGATTTTCCTGACCCTGCCTCTCCTCTCTCCCCTCAGCGTGAGTGCATCTCTGTCCACGTGGGCCAGGCTGGAGTGCAGATAGGAAATGCGTGCTGGGAACTCTTCTGCCTGGAGCACGGCATCCAGCCCGATGGCACCTTCAAGGACCTGCAGGACAGACTCAGCTCTGATGACTCCTTCACCACGTTTTTCAACGAAACAGCCACGGGGAAGCACGTGCCACGGGCCGTCATGGTGGACTTGGAGCCCACTGTGGTAGGTCAGTACAGAAACAAACCTGCAAAATGGAGATGAGGTTGCTTCTCCTCACATCACCTCATATCTCCACTGGCACAAAGTGGCCCTTTGCACCTCAGGCTACCACCAGGTAGCAAGAAATCAATTTCCTTGTGACACAGGATGCCAGATTCTGTCACAGGTGTTACGAACATAGGAACAAGAGGATCCCCAGCAGTTTAATGGCTGGTACACGTGGTGTGTACAGCTTCTCTTTGCATCAATATTTAACTTTTGGGTTTGTTTATCATGACATTTTTGCCATTCAGATTCTGCTTTTCTTCTGTTTGGATTTAAAGCAGGAGCCTGACCGCTTCCCTCCATTAAGAGAAGAATGTCTAAAAACTGGGACACCTGAATTTCTTCACACTGTTTTTTTCTGGCGACTTGTGGATGCAGGTTGTACTTGTCACTAACAAGCTCATGAGAAGAGAAGTGGCTGGACTGAAGATGCACAATAAATCAAACAAATGCAACAATGAAAAAATGCTCCAGAGACATTTCCCTTCTCCATCAGCATCTGTCTTTTGGCATCATGAGCTCCTGTGACTGAGAGCATGCACTGATGCCAACAACAACCAGAATTTGTTGGCACTGGAGCATGTTCTTACTGTCACTGTGATATTTTCTGAAAAATCCCTTTGCCAGGATTTCTTCTCCTGGGAAGATGAGAAGCCCCATCTTCTCCATGTTTTGCTGCTCTGGAATGTGGTTTGGAGATTGTTTATCCAAACATGTGAATTGTTTTTAATTCATGACCAATCATCATCAGCTGTGTCGGACTCTCTGAGTCAGTCATGGGTTTTTATTATTCATTCTTGTTAAACTTTCTGATGTATCCTTCTCTTTCTTTAGTATAATTTTAGTATAGCATTTTAAAATATAATATAATAAATATAATATAATGAATAGAATAGAATAGAATAGAAATAATAAATCAGCCTTCTGAGAACATGGAGTCAGATTCTCATCTCTCACCTCATCCTGAGGACAACCCTCACAAAGACCACATTCTTACAATTTCTCTTTCTTCTTCAGATGAAGTTCGGGCTGGCGCTTTCCGGGAGCTTTTTCACCCAGAACAGCTGATCACTGGAAAGGAGGATGCAGCCAATAATTATGCCCGTGGCCACTACACCATTGGCAAGGAAAGCATTGACATGGTGCTGGATCGTGTCCGTAAGCTGGTAAGTCCCAGCAGCTCTGAAACAACAGTTTGGACTCTGCAGAAGAAAGAAGGGCAGAACTAACAGCTTGTTAATTGCAAATGATACCCATGGTTCAGCAAAGAGATTTCAAGTCATACAGATGGTATTTGGACATGGTACAGAAGAGAGGAGCCCAGTAGTTCACTTCCCAGCTGCATGACTCCAGGCTTTTTTATCAAGTGGTTATGAATATGTAATTTTTAATTATTAGCACAGCCCTACAGCACCCATACTGATACTGAAGGGTGGATTATGCAGTTGTACATTGCTGGTTTCAGCTAGAATAACAGAGCAGTGTGAAGTTCAGAGAGAGAGAAGCCTGGATAGATCCCTGTGTCACAAGTTGAGACAGTGAGGAAAGCAAAGGTTGAAACTATCACCAGCCCTTTCCCAGGAAAACCTGACATGAAATCTCTGCTGTGTACTGCCTGTGACTGCTCACCCCTTCAGCTCAGGACAGGCTCACATGGCAAAGTCTGTTCCACCTTTTTCAGTCACTGCTGTTTCACTTTCCCTTTTGCTTTCCAGACCGATGCCTGCTCTGGGCTGCAAGGATTCCTGATCTTCCACAGCTTTGGTGGCGGTACGGGCTCTGGATTCACCTCCCTGCTGATGGAGCGCCTCTCCGTGGATTACGGCAAGAAGTCCAAACTGGAGTTTGCCATCTACCCAGCCCCTCAGGTCTCCACTGCCGTGGTGGAGCCCTACAACTCCATCCTGACCACGCACACCACGCTGGAGCACTCGGACTGCGCCTTCATGGTGGACAACGAGGCCATCTACGACATCTGCCGCCGCAACCTGGCCATCGAGCGCCCCACCTACACCAACCTGAACCGCCTCATCAGCCAGATCGTGTCCTCCATCACGGCCTCGCTGCGCTTCGACGGCGCCCTCAACGTGGACCTGACCGAGTTCCAGACCAACCTGGTGCCCTACCCGCGCATCCACTTCCCGCTGGTGACCTACGCGCCCATCATCTCCTGCGAGCGCGCGCACCACGAGCAGCTCTCCGTGGCCGAGATCACCAACGCCTGCTTCGAGCCCAACAACCAGATGGTCAAGTGTGACCCCAGGCACGGCAAGTACATGGCCTGCTGCATGCTCTACCGCGGGGACGTGGTGCCCAAGGACGTCAACGTGGCCATCGCTGCCATCAAGACCAAGAGAAGCATCCAGTTTGTCGACTGGTGCCCAACAGGCTTCAAGGTGGGTGGATACAGGAGATATCAAGGTGAGTAGGGCTCTATTTTGTCCCACATCCAGGAAGAATGATGCATCTGACTCCATCTTATCAGAAGGCTAATTAATTACTTTATTATACTATATTATTCTCTATTATATTACATCTATATTACATTGCATCTAAACTGAATCTGCCAAGCACCCAACTGCCCAGCATCCCGTGACTGTCACACACCTGGATCCAATTGGCCAATGACTCAAAACTCACACCAGAATCCAATTATCAATTCCCTTCAGGTAAACAATCTTCCACGATGCATTCCGCTTATGAACAAACACAGGTGCAGCAAATGACATAAGAATTGTTTTGATCATTCTTTTCTCTGCTTCTCTCCGGTTCAGAGAATGTGAATACCACAGGGCTGCCACAAGCTTCTCTTTAGTGTTGAAAGGGGAGATTCAGTCTAGCAGAAAACTTGTATTTTTAAAATTTTCTAGTGGAAAACTTGTATTTAAAGTTTTCTATCTCATCTATTTCTCCTATTTTCCTCAAGTGATCACCTACACTGCTCTCTATAATCCATTTCACACTTTTGTGGATTCCAGTCTGTCTTGAAGTCCGGGAAACTTTCTCCATGAGTGAGGGTCAGAGTCAGGGCTCCCCTGGGGGTCAGGATACCCCAGAGCAGACACAGAAATATTCCCAGTGCCCTAGGTTTCCACAATGGGGGAATAGAGATATTTCCCAATGAATGTAAGAAGGATGCATTTATATAAAATGTGCCTTTTCTCCTTTGGACATCCCATTGACACAGGCTCTTACATATTTAAATAAGTGGAAATTTGAAGTGTGTATGGGTTAAAACTGAACGAAGTTTTAATTTCAGACCTAACCTTTGGAACAGCCAATGAGCACTGTCTCTGAGGCACAATCTAAACTTGAGGAAACACCAAAGTTGATAAAATTAATAAAGGAAGGAAATGCTGATATTAGGGAATCTCTTAGGTAGCCTAGAGATATTATAGAGCCTCTCCCCACTGGTTACACAGCAGTGTCTGGAAATAAATTTTCAACAATAATACAGACATTACCAGTGGAAAAGCATTTGTCATACAAACAGCTCCTTCAGCAATGAAAACTCCCAACTGGGAACCAAGTTTTTATGTTAGTTTCTACAGAGTATCTTGGTGAAACTCTATGTTCAGTATTGAGTAGCTGTTAAGAAAGCTACAAACTTGTCAGTGTGCATTAATGTCACAGACATATTTTATGAAAAATCCTTTTGCCAGAATTTTTTCTCCTGAGAAGCTGAGAGGCCTCAGGAACAAAATGCAAACAATGATTATCTGCTGCTGTGGAATGCAGCAGGTGCATCTGTGATTGGTCTCATGTGGTTGTTTCTAATTAATGGCCAATCACAGTCCAGCTGTCTTGGACTCTTGGTCAGTCACAAGATTTTATTATCATCCATTTCTTTTCTTTGCTAGCCTTCTGATGAAATCCTTTCTTCTATTCTTTTAGTATATAGTATAGTATATATATAGTATAGTATATATAGTATAGTATATATAGTATATAGTTTTAATGTATAAAATATAAAAAATAATATATATAATAAAATAATAATATATATAATAAAATTATATATATCATAAAAATATATATAATATGTATGATAAAATAATAAATCAGCCTTCTGAAACATGGAGTCAAGATTCTTGTCTGTTCCCTCATCCTGGGACCCCTGAGAACACCATCACACATTAAACAGTAGAATAGTATAGATATTAGAGTGAGTAAATAGATATTAGAGTGAATTTCATGCTGTTTGACATTTGTGTTGGCCTTTGCCACCTGGTACCACTCTACCCCAGCATTTTCACTCACCTTCCTTCAGCTCTTTGGCTGCCTCCTGCTCCTGCTGTTAGGAAATGAATTGTGCACATAAATAAGTGGTACAGCCTTTTCTCCCATCCCTGTTTCCAGGTTGGGATCAACTACCAGCCCCCTACGGTTGTCCCTGGAGGGGACCTGGCGCAGGTGCAGCGGGCAGTGTGCATGCTGAGCAACACCACGGCCATCGCCGAGGCCTGGGCGCGGCTGGACCACAAGTTCGACCTGATGTACGCCAAGAGAGCCTTCGTGCACTGGTACGTGGGAGAAGGCATGGAGGAGGGAGAGTTTGCAGAGGCCAGGGAGGACCTGGCTGCCCTGGAGAAGGACTATGAAGAAGTGGGAACTGACTCATTCGAAGAAGAGAATGATGGGGAGTAATTAAAAAATGCATTTTGTGTCTGTATCGCTGTACGGCATGTATCAACAATCAGCTCAGCTTTTCTGTACCTTGTAAACATAAATTTAGGAGAGGACATTTTTTATTAATTATCCTGTAAGATACCATCAGCTGTAGTCTGGGGTCCCTGGGGCACACTAGGGAGGGACTGGGGGGCACTTAAGAGCAACTAGAGACACTAGGATGGGATTGGGAAGATGAAATCAAAAAGAGAATGAAGAAGGATTTTCCCTGTGTTGCCCCACCTGCTCAGGTGTGCTGCTCCCCTCTCCTGCACGGCCCTGGGGCACAAGGATTGTCCCTTGGCACACCTGAGCAATGCCCCAGGAGCACCCAGGTGTTCCCCCTGCCCTGCCGATGCTGTCACTGCTGTCCTGTGGGAGATTCCCGGGGATCACCCCCTCCAGCAGGTACAGGAACCAGTAACCCCCTGAAAGCAGCCCTGAACAGGGCCAGGCCCTCCTCATCCTCACTGACCACACCTGGGGCTGCCCTGACCCTCCTCATCCTCACTGACCACACCTGGGGCTGCCCCAACCCTCCTCATCCTCACTGACCACACCTGGGGCTGTCCTGACCCTCCTCATCCTCACTGACCACACCTGGGGCTGCCCTGACCCTCCTCATCCTCACTGACCACACCTGGGGCTGCCCCAACCCTCCTCATCCTCACTGACCACACCTGGGGCTGCCCTGGACACGGATTTCCGCAGGGATTTCACTGAATCCCGCTCTGAGCCTCACTCACCAAGCCGAGCAAACTTCGCTGCTTTTCACGTTAAACCTGAGGCTGCCTGGGATGAAGAAAACCAGAACCGATCAATCGGGATCGCAGCATCCCAAAGTTACCGGGACGGGGCACCGCGGAAAACCCGGACTGGATTTGCACGGAATACGGAATGGGGGAAAACCCGGACTGGTTTTTTTTCCTGAAATATGGAATCGGGAAAAACCTGGACTGGATTTTTTTCCCTGGAATACGAAATGTGAGAAAACCTGGACTGTTTTTTTTTACCTGGAATATGGAACGGGGAAAACCCAGACTGGATTTTTTTCCTGGAATATGGAATGGGGAAAAACCAGACTGGATTTTTTCCCCAGATTATGGAACAGGGAGAAACCCGGACTGGATGTACCTGGAATATGGAATGGGGAAAACCTGGACTGGATTTTTTTTCCTGGAATATGGAATGGGGAAAAACCGGACTGGATTTTTTCCCCAGATTATGGAACAGGGAGAAACCTGGACTGGATGTACCTGGAATATGGAATGGGGAAAACCTGGACTGGATTTTTTTTTCCTGGAATATGGAATGGGGGAAAACCCAGGCTGGATTTACCTGGAATGTGGAATGGGGAAAAACCCAGACTGGATTTTTTTCCTGGAATACGGAATGGGGGAAAACCCAGACTGGATTTACCTGGAATGTGGAATGGGGGAAAACCTGCACTGTTTTTTTTTTCCTGGAATATGGAAGGGGGGGGGGGAAAACCCAGACTGGATTTTTTTCCCCCAGAATACAGAATGGAGAAAAAATCTGGACAGGATTTCTCCCAGAATATGGAATGGAGAAAAACTTGGACTGGATTTTTTCCCCAGAATACGGAATGGGGGAAAACCAGGACTGGATTTTCCTGGAATATGGAATGGGTGAAAACCTGGAGTGGATTTCCCTGGAATATGGAATGGGGAAAACCCTGAAATGAATCATGTCAGAACATCAAATAGGGGAACCTGGACTGGATTTTCCCAGAGTAGGGAATGGGGGGAAAGATGGGGGAAAACACGGTTTGATTCCAGCCTTCTGTACAGAAGTGTACAGCAGAAGCCACGTTCCTAAACCACACAAACCAAATTGCTCCAGCAGTGTGTGCTGCTCGAACACTCAACCATCACTGGAGCCGCCCAGGTGCTATAAGAGACCGGCTGTTGGTGCTCATGGCTTGAACCATCACTGGGTGCTGCTCCAGTGATGCTTGGAGGGGCCTCCCAGGTGCAGGGGATGTGCACACCTGAGGCTTCAGCCTGGGTTTGCAGATAAAGAAGGGGCTGATAAGAGGCAATCCTGCCAGGTGGGATAAGTCCTTGTCATGCTTCCCTTACACAATGACTCAGTACTCTCCAAGTACTGGGGCAGTCACATCTCAGATGAGGCAATTCATGTTGGCTGATTTGACATAACACTGGATGTGGATTTCTTAACTTCCCAAAGGCTTTTTAGATCTCATCCTGACCACCAACATTACACTTCATTTTATTTGCAAGGACACTCAGTAATTAGGAGTCCTGCTCTTGAAGCAGTCAATGCACTTTTTGGAGCTATCTGGACATTAGGAGTGCCATGGCAATTATCAGCAGCTAGCAGCTTTTGTCCAAGGGGCAGGCAGTGTGTTTGGACACTCAGACACTGCTGCCTTTCAGTTTGAACCCTCCCTTCATCTGAGCCCATTTTCTGGGCTCTGCCTGCTGCCTGCTTTGGAAGGGCCCTGTCATGACTGAGTTCTGCATGCAAAGCTTAAAACATTCTTCAGATGTAATACTCCTCCTAACTGAGTGCCCAGGCTCTCACAGGGGTCATCACCAAAAGCTGTTTCAACTGCACGCTGCTCTACCAACTTCCACCTGGCAGATCTAGCTCCTGTTCAACCTCCAGTGTCCTTTTGCACTTTGCTCGGGTGGTTTCGTTCTCTCTGGGCAGTTTATGGCTTAGAGGTTCTCCTCTCTCCCTTCCTTCCTTCTACCGGCCAGTCGCCACAGAACCCAGTAATAGAAAGGGAACATCAACATCATTAAATTTAAACTATTGCTGAGAACCTCTGCCACAAGCCAAGACACTGAGTTATTTGTGAAACCGAGCCCTTGTGCTCAGAAGTCCCTACAGATACCCACATCCCCTCTGTGACGATTCAGGACAGTTTTCATTGTCCCTGTGCCTCGACTGAAGACCTGCTAAGAACTGAAGAGTTGTCCTGGCTCCAACAGAGCCAGGCAGTGTGAGCAGGTTCTCCAGAGGGTTTGCAGCTGGAACCCCTCCACAAGGACAGCCCTGATGGGCTCCAGATGACCCCTGTGAAATCCTCCCGTGCGTGTTTCCTCCCCACGGCTCAGTGGGGCTGCACAGAGGTCCCTGACACAGGGCTGGGAGCGCAGCTGTGTGCGGACAGCTCAGCCTCACAACGCTTCCCCCAGCGATTTGCATGAAGGGACAAAGAACAAGCAGTGAAAACCCCTGGGTCCCTTTCTCCCAGCCCCCTCCGTGCCTGCCGGGAGGAGGCGCAGGGCGGCTCCGAGTTTCACTTTCTGTGTGCGATCCCGGCCGAGCGGGAAATGAAAACTGAGCGGCTCCGAGAGCGGGGCGGGCGCTGCCGCTGCCTGACGCGCCGGGGCCGCCCCGCTCCGCTCCGCCCGCTGCCCTGCCGGCTCCCTCAGCCCTGCCGGCTCCCTCAGCCCTGCCGGATCCCGCATCCCTTCCCGATCCCGCATCCCTCCCGGATCCCGCATCCCGCATCCCTCCCGGATCCCGCATCCCTGCGCTCCCCCGGATGCGCGCTCCCTCCGGCGCGCCGTGCGGTGCCGCCCCGTGCCAGCGGGCGCGCTGCGAGCGTGAATCGGTAAGAAAGCGTTTTGCTGCTTGGTGAGATTGGATGCTGGAGGCGCAGTGTGTCAGGAGGGGAGGAAATAGAGAGGGAATAATAACGGAGTAGTTTGGCAGCTAAGTGGGAATTCTCCTTGCAGTCGCATCCCGTTGAAGTCGGAGGTGATGCGCTCTTAGGCGCCTCCTTCCCCTTGAGGGTGGTCGTCACGCTGAGTCTCTGCTGCAGCCAGCACGGACCATGGAAACACAGAATAATTTGGGTTGGGCTTCGAAATCATCTAATTCCAGCCCCCGTGCTGAGGGCAGGGACACCTTCCACGAGAATAGACTGCTCAGAGCCGCCTGGTGTCCCTGCTGCAGCCACTGCCTGCCTTAGCATCATCATCGGCACCCCAGGATCCCCGGGGAGGAAAAGGAGCTGGCAGGGAAGGGACAAGGGCCGGAGTGGGAGCCCTTCTCGGGCACAGTGAAGGGACATTTTGGGGTTTGTCGTGAGAATCCAGAGTCTTGGGCGGGCAGATGGAGACTGGAGCAGGGCAGCGAGAAAAGGAGAAAGGGCTGGGCTGGCTGAGGGAGAGGAAGGAGTGTGAGGGTTGTGATGATGATGATGATGGGCTGGAGGGTACAAGGAGGGTCTCTCTGCTCCCTGTTCTCTGCCCAATGCTGGTGCCAGCCGGGGCACTGAGGTACCAATCCCACCCCTGACCTGCAAAGGAAACCGAAACAACGCTGCTGCTCCAGTGAGACAGGAGAAATGGGGATCAGGAGGAGAGCCTGCTGCTCAGTTCCTTGCCTCACTCACCTGTTGTTTTATGTACCTGTGCAGGGAAAAGGAGGTCAAGTGCAAGCCTTTGGAAGGTTGTATTTCTGATAGCCAAAACGAGGAGGTTCCAAGGGTTGGGAAGTTCTGTTTGTGTCCCTGCTCCCACAACAGGATCTCCAATATTGGTGACTGGGAGAAAATTTCATGGAACCAGAGACACAAATCCTCCTGGATCCTCCTGCACCTTCCTGCCCTAAGATCCCTAAGATCTCTCTACCTTTTCCTCAAAGACATCGAGCCCCATTCTTGCTCTTTAATCCCACTCTTAGTCCTCCCTTTCCTGTCAAAACCTGCGTATTGCATGTTTTCTTTATTCCTAGCTATGTTTAGCTACCTCTGTACTGCCTGCCCCTCTGCTTTCTGTCTCTTTCAACATCCCCACTGCCCGGGAGCATCCCTGACCTCCTGGCTGATTCTACACCAGCTAAACCCAGCTCAGCTTTCAGAAACCTGAATGTGCCATTAAATCATCCCCAGGAAAACAGGCAGTCAGTGTCCAGGCTCTGTTTTGGCAAGTGAGAAATCAGATTAAATTTATCTTTTCCTGCGTAGATGTTCTATT